AGCTGTGTGTGTATTTGGGAGACACACACTAGACAACAGGCCATTAGCCTTGATGGACCATTAGGAAAAAGGAATAAGACTTTGAAGATAGTCATTTCACTCCTTCCTGAGAGGCGTCCTGTCACCGACCTGTGACACTACTAGGTCAGGTGGTCCTGTCACCTGGTACTAAACACCATCTTGGACTTCGAGTAATTTTCCACAAAAAGAAGGGTGGGAGTTCAAGACTGGGAAACAAAAGATTCCTGCCTTGTGTAAATCTTATTTAAGGCAGGGGAGTAAGGCAAACAAGACTCGTCTCCATTGCCTTCCTGCCCAAGAAGAAAGACTGCTGAAAGTAACGGAAGAGACAAAGGAACTGAGCAGTAGCGCAGGCTAGGGCTGAGTCCAGACTAAGGCTACATCTACACTACAGCGGGGGGGGTGTCAATTTAAGATACGCCAATTCAGCTACGCGAATAGCGTAGCTGAATTTGACGTATCGCAGCCGACTTACCCCGCTATAGGGACGGTGGCAAAATAGACCTCTGCGGCTTCCCGTCGACGGTGCTTACTCCCACCTCCGCTGGTGGAGTGAGAGCGTCGATTCGGGGATCGATCCCCGAGAGGTCGATTTCTACCCGCCGATTCAGGCGGGTAGTGTAGACCCAGCCTAAGACAGGAGTCTAGTCTGTAAAGAGAAATAACTGGAACTCTATGCTATAGAAACTCTGCAACTTGTCTAAACAACACTTAGGGTGAGAAAATATTTCTTGAAACCAGTCTCTTTAAGATTCTAAGCTTAGTATGCCTGTTTTGTTTTATTTTCTTAGTAATCTGCTTTGTTCTCTTTGCTATCCCTCTTATAATCACTTAAAATCTACATAAGAACATAAGAACAGCCGTACTGGGTAAGACCAAAGGTCCATGTAGCCCAGTATCCTGTCTACCGACAGTGGCCAATGCCAGGTGCCCCAGGGGGAGTGAACATAACAGGTAATGATCAAGTGATCTCTCTCCTGCCATCCATCTCCATCCTCTGACAAATAGAGTCTAGGGACACCATTCTTTATCCATCCTGGCTAATAGCCATTAATGGACTTAACCTGCATGAATTTATCCAGTTTTCTTTTAAACGCTGTCATAGTCCTAGCCTTCACAACCTTCTCAGGTAAGGAGTTCCACAAATTGACTGTGCGTTGTGTGAAGAAGAACTTCCTTTTATTTGTTTTAAACCTGCTGCCTA